CAGCTGTGGCCCATCCTGAGGGCTATTTATGCGCCTTCCCCACGCCACTCTGGGCGGATTATTAATAATTGTTTGTACGGGACTGATGCAAGCCCTGCGTGGCCGTATTGTGTCAGAGTCTTCTGTTCCTTGCCTGTGTCTCAGAGTAGTAGCTCTGTTTGTGTTTTGACTTTGTTTTCCCCTGCAGTCAAATAAACCTGCATTTGGACCCAGAGCCCTGCTTACACTGTGTTTTTCCTAACCGCGCCGTGACAATCGTGGGATGATTTTTGGGTGAACTATCCCTTTAACACCCATGTCACCTTAAACAATAATGATGATTATAGTAGACACTAGATTCATATCTATGGAGACACAGATAATCAACATTGAATCTTAAAGCATTTACACCTTGTCAGTATCCAGACGTTCTCCTGGCTTCAGGATCAGGACGCTCTTATCTACAGCACTGAGGCCGCACAGTGAACCAGGCTGAGCTGAGAGCTGGAGAGTGTTTTTCTCACCAGGAACTGCTTTAGCAGGAGAAAACCGCAGCGACACCTGTGACGACAACAGTAGGGTGTGTAATTTTAGTATTGAACCAGAATGACCGTGATTGTGTAAATGGGCAGATTTTTTTTACATGCCTTGTTTTTGAAACACTTTTCAATGTCAAATTTTGTGCTACGAGCAACAACATTTTCACTGGGCAGAACACAGTAGGCCAGAATCTGCACTGCAGGAGCCAGATCTGCACCAACAGACAGTTTGAACGACACTGTGCCACTTGCTGCTCCATTAGAAGACTTCACTTCAACCTTCTCATATCCATGATGAACGATCACTCCTCTGGACATGACCTGAAGCAGACAGATGACACTCCGATGACAAACTGACCAGTGCAGTCAGTTAATACTGTTAACAAACAATGAATTCAACAGCGTAACAATGTACATACTGCACATTCTCACCATATAGACAATGTCAGTTTTGAAGCCTTCAACAGTCTCTCCAACAAAATAATACTTGATAGTCACTGTAAACTCAGCATCACACTGTAATGGTTGCTCAATATTCTCTATAATCAGTTCACTTAATGTTGGGGTGTATGGAGTGGCAGCCCGGAAAAGCTGAACTGTTTTTCTATCCGTAGAGAAGAAAGGTGTTTTGTAACCATGATAATGAAATGCTGGATACACACTTGCCTGAAAAAAAGAATGTGCCAATATTTTCATGTAATCAAAACATTAACTGATTAAACATTTGGTGGATGAGTAGCAATTATCATACCATCAGATTAATATCTTTTTCAGGAAGACTAGACGTATTAAAAAAGAAGCTGGCCAGTCCATCGCTGTCTGTAGTGAGATTTAGGAGCAGTTTTGAGGACCAGGTTTCACCCTCCAAAAGATAAACCACTTTGTTTTGTATTGGTGCGCCTTTGAAATTTGAGAGTTTGATCTGTTAAAAATAAGATTTTGAAGGAATAAATGATTCTGTACATATCAATGCTGTTAAACTGAGAACCTGATCTTAGACTTACTTTTCCTTCTATAACTGATCCATGTTCATATGTTTTGGGCAGGTCAGTAAGTGTGCATTTTCCAATTTCATAAGTGAGAGATATAGTTTCAGATTTTGTCATGGTGATCTCTGTAAAATACAAATAGATGATGAGTGTGAAACTTAAATTTTAATGAAACCAGATTTTAAAACTCTCATTTCAGTAATTAATAGCTCACCTGTTCCTTCTTCTGTGACTGTTGCTTCAACATGAAGAGAATTTTCTAGTCGATCATTATATGTTGAGTTTAAAAAGGTAGATATATCTAAGGTATGGATAGCACAGCCTGTCTTTTTCATCTAATGGAAATGAATGAACACACACACAATGCCTAAGAGTGACTTAATCTGGATGTAGGAAACAAATGTCACATGCCACTTTTGGTACTGCACTGACAAACCTCAGCGGTTTCATTCACACATATTGGACTGTGTTTGTCACGCCTGTGAGAGTAGCGTGGAATATCACGACACACTTTCACCCATGATTTACCAGATACAGGCTGCCCGTACGTGTATCTGTGAAAAATGTACAAGACAAAGATGTATGGAAGAAAACAATCCTTTCTTTATGCTTTTAATACGTTTAAGTAAAGATGCTACTCACTTTCCACAAACCTCAACTGCCATTAACTCATCATCTATGCTCACTGTCTCTGGTGCTGTAACAGTAACTTCAAACTTAGGCAAAACTACAGAGGACGAAAGTTATAGTTATTATTAATCACATTTTGACTTTGTATGAAATTTGTCCCATGCAAACATTGCAAATAGTTTATTACTTACCATATTTTTTCACCTCAAAATCATGTGAGATCATCCTGTCACCAATATAAGACTTCAGTCTGTACACACCTTGATGGCTTTCCGGGTTTAATTCATAAGAACGCTGCAAAATCCAGCTTGTTGAAGACACATTTGTCCATTGACCAATTCTGTTACCTTTACTGTCCTATTTAATACCAAACACAAAGTGCAGGTAGTTACAGCCAGCTTTCACATGTTCTGATCAATAATAAAGAAATACAGAATAATTACTGAAAACACAATGCAAAAATCAGTCAGTGCCAGTGTTGTGCTTGTCATGAATGACTGACTGTACAGAAGGAGGTTTTGTGTTCTTACCTCAAGTACCATTTTTTAAATGAGAAAAAGTGACAGACGATTTATATAGAAATTAAAACGAATAGAAACACTTAGTTACTTACGGCCCTGACGTTTGTCCATTGACAAAGACAAGGAGAGAGAACAGAAGGAGCCGTTTCCAACAGCAGCTAATGTTCAGATCCATGATGACGAGTGATCATCTAGGTCTTGACATGAACTGAGCCGTCTCTTATAAAGGGAGTCTCATGCTAAATGTGGTCCTTCAAAAACATTTGTATCGATTATTTGATTAATGATTCAACCATGTAGGCAATACCATTTGAAAACCTGTGCAATATTAGCACTACTAAAGCCTAAAAAATACATCTGTGCTACAGTAAATATTAAAAGTATTATTTATGCAGTAAAATATAGATGACACATTATGTAATAATAACTTATACAGATATTTACAAAACATATTTTACAGTTGAACAACTCAAAGTTTGCAATGAATTTATGCTGCCATTATACGAGGAAATGTATATTTATTTTTATATTGTATTTTATATTGTTTTTAGTCATTCACACAGCCTATAGAAAATGGTAAAATATACACATCATCATCATCTGAACAAACTATACACACACACAAAATACCCCTAGGGCTTCTGAACTCTTTCCAATGTCAACAAACAATACTGAAATCAAGGGTCAAGAATCACCTACACCCACTCAGAGTAAATGTTTCTTCATATCTGCAAATCCTTTGACCCCTTCTAATATGGCTTCTGAAACCTCAGCTCATTAAAATGTGTAAATCTGTTAATACTCAAGATTCTACACCATGATGAAGATTTTTCCATGTTTGTTTGTTTGTTTTCTGTCTAGGATCTTATTTGTAACATTGGGATGGATATGCAGATTGGCAGATGCCACACAAAGACAGGAAAAGCGCAAGGTTTGACAAACCTTCTCATATATTATTGTGAGTTCTTCTGGTTTTTAGGAATAATAGTATTCTCCTTATTACTTGAGAGTGATGGGATGAGAAGTTTCAATGGAAGTCCGGTTCCACCGATGAATAAAAAAACAGTAAGATAATTGTGAATTTTATCTCACATTCTGACTTTTT